TTTTTCACTGCACAAACTCCCATGCAATATAGTTTGCATTATGAAGAGTAAGTGATTGATGCCATACATGTGTGTGTATTTAGAATTTCTTAATTAAAAGGCAGTCTGGGAAAACCATCAAGTAACTTTCAGGATTATATCAGTGACAAGCACTCGATTTGGTTTTCTTCTCTTCAGGTAACTTGAAAATGTAAATACTTCATTTTTTTTTGAATATGTGTTTTCTTTCTCCTGTTTTCTGTAGCTTTTTTTATGCACATTTCGCATACTTCACTAGAAGGTGTTGCTTGTAACTGGGAAGTACTGATGAAGAAACACACTAAGGTTATTTATTACAGTTTTATGCTAAAATTGGTCTTTTTTTTTTGCTTTTGCATTTCTCAACTGTTTAACAATACCTTCCTGATTCAGTATTTGTGTTAAGATCTCATACTGCGTGATTTCTGTGCTAGTAAACCACCACGGAGTACTCTTCAGTGATAACATTCTAATCTGGAACCAACAGTGGGGCTAAGAGGAAGACACTTGTATCTCTTCCTAAATGCTTTTGTCGATGGTGTATGTAAATAGATGGCTTTGTTTTACATGAAGGGCTTTTTGTTGCTGCTGCTTGTAATGATAGATATTTTAAGTAAACATCCTCTGAATTTCTTAGTGCATAGGGAAATAATTTCCTGCTCTTCCACTCACTGCTTCGGATAGAGATGCCTGCATCCTTGTGGAAGCTGTCAGCACTGGGAAGTGCATGCAGCACGTGAGCCATGGAGAGCTTTGGTTTCTGTAGGGTCGTGGATCTTGAGTACCTGGTGCGAATACGGGACTCGGAACGCTTTGTTGTAGTTAATTAGTATGCATTTTATGTCTTTATGTCTGTTGATATTTCAAGAAGGTAAATTTTTTTGAAATTGGAGGTAAATGAATGTGGCACAGAACAGAGTTGTTTGACTCTCAGGACATGGACACGGTGTATTTTTCTCATTCACCAGCAAAGGGACTGTGCTGTCTGTCAGAGCTTTGGCACCTGTGTCCTAACGCTAATGTAGTTACAGGAGAAAGTTAAGTGAGTATTTCAGCATTCCTCAGAGGCTCAGATTTGCCAGGTATGGTCACACTCTTGTTCTGTTTGGATTTTGCTCTTCAGCAAAGATGGGCACAGAGAGTTGCAGAGAAAAACAGAAGTCCTGGAACATATCTGACCACTGACGCAGCATTATGTGCAGGGTTGCTGAGGTTCCTCCCCAAGGCAAAGAGAATCAGTGAGAACTGCCTGCAAGTCTATTGTGAAAAATTGCTCATTCTCACGTAGGTAGTCTGTAGTTGTTGAGCACGAGAGGATTGCATCATGTGAACTTATGCTTACAGACCACGTTATTTATCAGCTTGAGATCAGTAGATGAAGGAGTGTTTGTTGGGGACAAAGAGTCAGTGCCTAGTGGAGGTGATGTGGAAGAAGAATCTCCTCATCCAGAATGTTACACAAGGATTTTCAGATTTGCCAGACTGAATCCAGAGCAACTTCTACAGCAAAACAACAGCCAAAAATACAAGTCGGGTTCTGCTTGCCCCCTGCATGGAAAGATTATTTAAAATGGTGTCTTGTTCTGCTTTAGATGTTTGAAAACCTCCGACAGGTTAAACTATTTTATATTTATTACATTGCATATCTGATACAGGAAGAATCTTTCCCAATGAACACCTTTCACGTTCCTAGCACATTTTGGATTAATTTCATACCAAAGTTTTAAAGATAGCTGTATTAAATGTCAGCTCCAGTGTAAGCCTTTAAATGGCCTCGCCAGCGTGCGTTCTCTCTGCTCTTTCTGCTTTGGGTTTTGTGGACTTTTAAAAAAAATAAATAGTGATCACGGAGTATCGTTTGGGGAAAAACACAGTGTGAGTTCTGGGGTTGTGTTTTATGAAGAAAGGTGTCTGGTTAAGAGGAGAGAATGCAGTCACAGAGTTTCTGTTGGCTGAGGGAAGATCGATCAACTATCACTAAGTGTTCTGTGAAAATTCAGAACTTACTATTGCATAAATCAAAGGTGACTGGAAGTTTTTTCTTACAGTGAAAAAAATCCACTTGATAACAAGCCCAATAATTTATTTAGCCACATTTTCATTGGCTATGACTTTGGCTTTCTTGTATTGAAAGTTTTGGCACTAGATGCTAACCTGTGCCACCGGTTATCTGGAAATGACCAATCTGCTCATCAACTTCCTAATTTTATTATGTACACAGTTAATTGTAATCCAGGATCGCAGCAAACAAGACGTTAATTTCTAGAGAATCTACCCACATTTCACTCAGAGCGTGATTGTTACCAAAGCAAAGAATACAAAGAGAATAACATTTGTGCTATCCTCACAGGAGCTGTCAATAAAAGATGTAATAGGGGATTTAGGAATCTGGAAATGGCCAACTAATTTATGTGAATCTATTTTATTTCAGCTAGAAAGACCAAGCTCTGCCTCGTCTGCACTGCATATTGCAGAGCACAGGCTGTCTATAGAAAACCAGGCGGCTGCATATGGATAGTCCCTTGATATCATTCACTTGCTGTGTAATCTTATTATGCAAAGTTCTAATCTTCACCTAGAATGAATGCCTCTGGGTCAGAATATAGTCATATCAGGGTTTTTGAGGTCATGTTTTGTGATCCTTAGCTTATTCTTCTAAGTAGGGCTGGGATTTAAAGAGTATTCCCTAGACGCTAGCAGAGATAGATGGTAAAACCTGCTGCCTTTTTGGAAGACAAGACCAACATGAGGTCCCTGGTAGGATTAAACTTGATTTGTAGCTGTAGGATTTTTTAACAGATGTATTATTGGACAGGGAATAGGGGGCCACCAGCACAGCGAAATTGGATCACGATTGGCATTCTCAGGGAGTCCGCTGGCTGCTAAAACAGCAGCTGCATGTGGATTTGACTTCTTTCAGGTGAAGCGACTTCCAGTCATTTGGAAAGGATGGGATGAAAAGGAACCTTGGTGATAATTTTGATGTCTGCAAGATTTAGTACCAATGTAATGGGATTATCGGTAACACCTTCGCTGCAGAAAAAGCCACCTGGCGCTATAACTGGCAGCAACTGCGAACTAATCCTTTCCCATCTCTTGGATGTCATTCATGAGGCTCCAAGTGATTTCTACCCTGCTAGCTGTGATTAATTTTATAAACAAACAAACAAAAAACCACAATGACGGAAGCCTAGACCATGTAAGGAGAAGGGAACAGAAGAGAACAGTAATTAGATTTTGCTTTTTATTTGCTGTAGGGGAAAAGCTCTATAGTTATTGTAAAAAAAAAACAAGCAAATTGTATTGTGTGATAAATGTGTGTAACTTTTTTCATCGATTTAAAAAAAATAATAACCTATTTTCATTAGAAAAATAATGTTTCAGCGTAAGGTTTCCAGCTACCTACTGTGTAAGTAGTAGTTAGTACCTGGAGGTAATTACAGCAGGTTTTATGGCAATAATTCTGTGATAAGGATGTTCATATGGCACATCTGGGAAGTTTTGAAGGGGGCTGTGACTTAAATCATTTGTTTTATTGTCCTTTATGGCCATATTGTGTGGTGGAGGTGCCTGCCGACAGGACTTGGTGGTGAAATGAATTGTGTGATGTGGAAAGCAATTCAGGCATTTAGCATTTAGTTTTCAAACAATGCCATATTGATAGTTTTCTAGAATAGCTGTTGTTTAATGATTGCTTGGAACCTACTGGGTTTTGGTTGTGTTTTTTGTTTTATTTTGTTTGAAGTAATCTTGTTAGTTTCAAACTGTATAATCTGTATTGTATGTGTGCCCTAATTTGAAATTGCACGTCACTTTCCTGAGGAGTGGTAGAAGCTGAAGCTTATTAGGAGCTAAGAATTTGTCTCTACTGCCATAGCCATCTGATAAAACCTAGGTGTTTCAGAAAGTCCCTTGTGCCAGCACCTGTATGCCAGGATAGTGAAATCCTCGTCTCTTGGATTAGGACTTTTATTTCATACCAAATGCACACTGCACTGAGTCTTTGAGAGTCCACTAGTTGGAAAGTGGGGAGGGCAGTGCTGGAGATGTCTTCACTCCTTTGCTATCCTCTTGGTTTCCTGCCATGGCAGCTGCAGTCATAGGTAGAGCCCCACTCCGTTGGGTTTCAGTTCACTCCGGCACTCAGATATTTCTCCAATTTGCTGGTGGTTGAAGGGAAGTAGTGGTGTAAGTTGTGCTGTCTTCATGTGATTAATCCCACAAGTGTTAGTTCATAAACATCTTGAGTCCCCAGCTCCGTCTGAGCTGAAGTGGGTTCACAGAATCACAGAATCACAGAATCACCCGGGTTGGAAGGGACCTCAAGGATCATGTAGTTCCAACCCCCCTGCCTAGCAGGGCCACCAAACGTACACATTTAGATCAGGTTGCCCAGGACCCCGTCCAACCTGGCCCTGAACACGTCCAAGGACGGGGCATCCACAACCTCCCTGGGCAGCCCGTTCCAGGGCCTAACCACTCTCCTTGTAAAGAAAAGGTTGCAGCAGTGCGGCAGGCAGGGAGAGCCTGTGTTCAATGTGGGGATTGCAGCTCCCCAGCATCCGTTCAGCTCCACAGTCCTGCGGAGGGGAGGATGTTCCCATAGTTGGCAAGTGGCTGCAAATTTGAGTAGAAGTCCATTTGTGTAGCTGAGTCAGCAAACCGTTGTCAACATTCCCTCCCCATTAATTTCTGTAGCCTTGCTATGTGTTTTTTGTTTTGCTCGTGGTTCCTTTGTTTCTTTCAGCTCCCACTCAACTGCATCTTGCTGACTTGCTGGGAGGGGCAGTCGGTTGTACGCATGGGAGGGCCTGCATTAGTCAATAAAAGCCCGATTGCGTTTCATCTCTTCTCATGGGCCTGATTAGTTTTAGTTGCTGTTCTTCTAAGAGTACTGAGTTCGTTGTTAGATGCAAAAGATGGCTTTATGAATGCTACACTGCTTGCTGTCAAATGAACGATGTTCTTCTGTTTTACTGTAGACCAGAGCCAGCTGAGCCACGTAGTGCCGTGCCATGTTTCGCAATGCCCTAGGAAAAACCTTTCGATTTCTCGGGTATGCTGTGCAGTATGGCTGCGTAGCACACTGTGCCTTTGAGTACCTTGGAGGAATTGTTGTGGTAACTTTCCATTTTTATGACTTTAAAAGATATAACAACTGTAATACTAAACCTGTTATATTTCAGAATGCTGTTATTTCGGTTTTCTTCATTTTTAAGGTTTTTTGTTCTAAGTGCGTTCAGTAAAAAAAAAATTAAAAAGCTCAGCTTTTTGGACAAGTTAGTGCTTCAGGCATCGCTGAAGCAAATGGGAAGCAATATGAGTAGGCATTTTGCAGAGAGTACATTCTTTCAGAAAGGCCAGAGTAGCAAAATCCCAACTCTGCAGATTTGCGGACGTTTTATGCTACTCCTCCCTTCCCTGGATATTGCTGCTGGAGATAATGGGTTTGGCTGAGGGCTCCTACTGCAGCTCTCGTGATGCTTCTCTTCACAGAGGCTGAAAACAAAGGGGTGGTGCTGCTTCCAATCTGTAGAGAAGGTGCTGAGATGTGTACCTAGGAAGCCATTGCACCCAGCACAGTGCAGGACCGGTTCTGAGCTAAAAGAGCTGTAACAGGGAATCTGGAGGCTGTCCTTCCTGCTTAAATATCAAATGTCCCACCCGAGGGTTTAATTGTTCCTTATATTACACCTGTTGTAATTTATAAGCAAATAATTGAAGACACATGTGTTTTAGTTAATGGCAGTTGACAAATAGTAATTTTTTCTCATTTATTTTTAATTTTCAGTGTTCTGGACCTTCAATGGAGCCAACAATTCAAAATTCTGATATTGTCTTTTCGGAGAACCTTAGCCGACACTTTTATTCCATTCGGAAGTATGCTCCTTTGTTGAGACTACATTTTACAGTTAGTTTGCCAGAGCTTCTCATTAACCACTTTCTATCCATCCTTTATTTTTCATACATTCTTCAGCATCTGGATTGTATTTTTTCTTACATCTCCTCTTGTGTCTGATGGAAGACAAAGCAATGGGCAAACACTATCCGTCTTCCCAAACTTACTTGTCAGAACTCATTTAGGATGCAGTCATAGAATCACAGAATAGAATCATTGCAGTTGAAAAAGGCCTCCAAGATCATCTAGCCCAGCTGTCCACCTCCTCCACCTCCTACCAATGATGCCCACTAAACCCTGTTCCTCAGTACCACATCTACGTGTCTTGAACACCTCCAGGGTTGGTGACTCAACCACCTCCCTGGGCAGTGCCACCCACCTCCCGTTCCAGTGCCTTACCACTCAAGTCCATTTCACTTCTCCATCTTTGTCCAAGAAAACAGAAATCCCCTCTTCCCTCCCTTTATTTTCCCTAGCGCTTTTTTTGTTTGAATATAACTTCTCCTCCTAAGTAATTTGGACTTACTTTTAAATCAAGCTGTGGGTTTTGCTGTGCCCAGATAGACCATTCAGTAACTTTTCTAACAGCCTAAGTGCAGTTTATCAAATGTCATTATGTTGTAGAGCACAGGCCCTTGCCCATTTCGTTGTGGACCATTTCACTGTACAATGTCATGTGTATAACTGGGGCAAAAGATCCTACAAAGTCAGACATCTGGAGTTCTACTGAAACATTTGTATAATGACGTATAGAAATTTGGAATCTCTTCCATATGTAAGTAATAACAGGATCAAGTGAATAGGCATTCATTTCATCAGAGCATTTTCAATTAAAATGCAGGCCTAAATGTTTTGTAAACAAATAGCAAAGCCTCCAAATGTGCTTACATTACACCTCAGTGTAATGTGTGTCACTGAGAACACCAAGATGTGACTAGAGTTTTGAGCAGAAAGAGCTGTCTTTTAATGTCTGGGAGTATTTTTGGAGTACGTGCATTGATACACGTCTTCAACCAGACATTCTATACTTAGTGTTCTCATTTGTTTGTGTTTGTCTCTGTTTCTGTTTTTTCCCTCCCAGAGGAGATATTGTAATTGTGAAAAGCCCGACTGACCCCAAATCAAATATCTGTAAAAGAGTAATTGGCTTGGAAGGGGATAAAGTCTGCACAAGCAACCCTTCAGATTTCCTTAAGACTCACAGTTTTGTAAGTATGAGAGTTTCTTGATTTGTAAATTAACGATTACATAAGCAAGCCTTGTAGTCTGTGAAGGATTTACGGTATCTTATTGTCATAAATCATACAGTATGACGTTCATGAATTATTCTGTGCATTCAGTAAAATGTAAACCTTGTTTATGGCAAGCTGCCCTTCTCAGTGTCTTTTGCCTCGGTAGGAAGTGTAGGCAGGCCATATGACCTTTGTTTAGGTCTTCTTCCACAAGGAGTACTCTAGAAATCTCTGAATATAGTACAGCACAGATGACAGACTTGGGATTGGCTTTAAGGCAAAAGTGTTTCTACATTTTTAACGATAGGAAGTGAAATTTTGTCTTTGCAATACCTTTGAGGATTTTGCTTTCAAAATTAATGTATCTATATGTTTCAGTGTAACAGAATTTAACTTCTGAGTACAGGTAGAAAAGTACTGCTTTAACTAACTTGCCAAAAAAATTCAGGTAAACAAGATGAAATAGAACAGAAGCAAAAATTCTTAATGCCGACTTGCCCTTATGCAAATGGACTTAAAAGAAGTTTGGAAAGATCTGAGATTAAAGATTTTCAGCAACTTGTTAGGCTATCATTAGTAGAATCATCAGAAATCATAATCACAGAGAAAAATGTAGCTTTTTCCCTAAAGCACATTTGTCTGTTTCCTCTGCTCAGTACCTGGTCGTGGAAATACCGGGTTTTGCACAGCTCCTTGCAGCCAGCTGTGGTTTGTGATGGCTGAATCCTTTACGAGTTTAGCTACCCAAGAGTGCCAGCTTCACCAGCATCCCTTCAGGCACTGTTGCTGTGTGTGTATTGGACATTTCAGGTAGTTTTTAGTTGAAGTGGAGGCTGTATGTACCAAAATCAATGTCAACACTGTGTACAGATTCAGTGTCTGGGTTTAGTCAAGGCATGGGACCAGAAAACAAACATAGGATTGATAACGTGCTCCAAAGGGCTCAATTTGATATTTCTTTCATTCCAGTGTTGAGGCAGTACTTTTCAGGCACCTGACTCTAATGTGTCCTGGTAAGCAACAGTACCACATTTTGAAGGGGAGGACTGTTGTTTTTGTTGTTTTTTTTTTTTTTCCCATAAATCCAACTGTTTTAATGTTGAGCAACGAAAACAAATTAAAAAGCCCCACTCCTTTCTTATTGAGTTGAAGACATTTTCTGGTTCCTCTGGCAGTAGTAACTCAGGTGAATTTCCCAGAAAGGAAATACCTGAATGGAAGCCTGCATTCCATGTATGCTGACGGAGGTGAGCTGAATTTCTGTGGACATTTTGTTCCCCTCTTGTCTTAGTCCTGAAAAGGAACACAGGAAAGGCTTGTACTTCACAGGATGCGAGCCTTTCTGGAAACCCTGTGGTAATGAAATGAACATCCAGTGGAGGAATTTCTGCCACAGGTATAACTTTTTTTGTCACAGTTTTCATATAAAGTGTCAGGAGAATGAGCAGATGAGGAACACATCCATTTCCTGTTTTCCTGTGAATGTTTTTCACAAAGTCAACGTGTGCAGGTCCAGGAAAGAAGTGATTGCGCTTTCTGAGTTGTGGCATCGTAACTTGTAACTAGGGGAGAGAGGATCCAGATGGAAGTACGTAAGTTTGTTAATGCAGATCTGTTTTCCTCATATCCTTAATGGTTGCCAGACAGGTGAATCTTCCCATCTGTTCAGGAGGCACTTACTTTATGCAAGAGAGTATTTTTAACAGCGATATCTGCACTTTATGTTCATAAATTGCACTGGATTATTCACTTGGCAGTTCTGTTCTTGCTGAGGGAGGAGAAGCAGTACGTATCCATGCTGAGGTAATGGTCGAACCAAATCCCTATTTCAGCGGAGCAGCAACGCGGCGCTCTTCGAATTCAAGCACCAAATTCTTCAAAGCAAATAGCAGCAGCAGTCTTAGCGAGACCTTGCTGTTTGTTTTGCTGCTCCCTCTTTGAGGAGAGTTAATCTGCGTTGGGTCTGGAGAAGGAGATTGCTGGAGCTCCGAGGAAAGGTTTTGGCTGGGCTCCTGAATGGCCGGCAGCGCCGCCTGCGGTGTCCGGCTGTGGCAGAGATGCGGGCACACTTTGAGAGACCAGAAACTGTCATGAGTTCTGTTGTTTGTAGCGGGCTACTAATTGCTGCTTTTAATGAGAAATTTCTGAGTGATGCTTGAATGTGCTGACTCAAAAATGTTTAAGGTCAGAGGATTGTTTGGTTTTATTATGGTGAGCTGCCCAGCCTTTCTCGACCGACTTGTCTCTTGTTTTGGGGAGTGATAGCGAATGGATGTTGTCATGCTTGCAAGCTTATGGCAGCAAAGTAAACACAAAGTATGAGATGCGTGAAGTATTACTGAATTAGGCAGTTCTTACCTCAGCTTTGTCCTGTGCTGGTGTTTGGCACCCAGTAGCTGGGTATGAGGAGTTAGCTGGTTCCTGGAGATGCCAGATGAATGGCAGTGTAACAAGTGAAAGCACAGAGCAGCTGCTTGTCTCAGCACTAAGGAGAGTCCTTATGCTCACGTATGATCCTATCAGCAGGAAATTTTCATGCTTAGAAATGCTACAGTAGTCGATTCCCAGGCTTCCTGGTACAGTCAGATCCTGCTTCCACCCACGTTTCATCCATGAGTACACTTCTCAGGATGGCTTCTGTGACAGGTGAATGGAGAACTGTGTATGCTCTCTGTCAAGCAGTTACACAGACAAAATCCTGCCTTGAGAAAGAACTCAAATAGATACCTGTAATTTAAAAACAGCAAACAAACCAAACATAAAAATAAAGCCACAACAAAGCCCACCAAGTAAAACCCACAGAAATAAACAGCAGCAAACAAAACTTCAAAACCATTTCAAACTATGGAAAGAAAGAAAAGTAAAAAGTCCTTTTTCAGTTGTGTAAGTTGTTCTGAAAAGAAGAAACTCAGTAGACTAGAAATGCAGTAGGATATGGCAGTGATGTGAACATCTTTCTGATGGTATAAAAAGATTTCTACTGCCATGGCTAGCCAAAGAAATGTCATATGGGAAAAAATATTGTGGGTCTGCACTAAGTGTAAGGATGCACCGAAAACCTGGCTCTGATGGACTCACTGTTGGACTGCAAAGTGATGGAACTATTCCCAAGCATTGAACCGATTAGTACAAAATAATGGTGTGCTTAAATTAAAATTGAAGTAAACTAAGAGTGCTGCTTTGGGCCCTGTATGGCACATGATGTTTCCTTTGTATGTTACAGGTTAGAGCTTAGAGCAGAATAATAATGGGAGAAGTGATGCTATTTACATGAGGAGAAGAGTTAGGTTCTTTTTTTTCCATATGCTCTTAAACACTTTAAAATGTAGGAAAGAGGAATTTTTCTTTTCCTTGCCCCTCTTATTAGGATTTGGTGTGGAATGTGAAGGCTGGCAATTTTTCTGGGTTCTTTCAAGATTTTGTGCATATTGCTGGTGTTTATACATATCAAGTATATTTAATGCAGTAGACTTTTAAGAATGCATAACGTGTTTTTGCTGCCTCAGAAGAGGTATGGTTGGAACTAAAAGAGTAAACAACTAATTTAATTAATGTGGTATTCAAACCTGATTTCAATTATTTAAAAGTGTTTTTGCAGACTTATTCATTTAATCATAAAACGTAAATAACAAGGGTTAGAAATTTTTAAATCACAGCAAAACTCTGAAATGGTCCTAAAATTGTTTCGAAAGGCTAATTTTCGTATTTGTGTTTTCTATTTCCTGTTTTTAAAAGTCTAACGCAGGCCAAGGTTTATAATTCAGATTGAGTATCTCATTTTATTATTTGAATTTATTTTAATGCCATTTACTTTAGCTTTAATTTCTGTAGTACCATATGTTCTTGTGCTGCGGCTCCTATTTACAGATTGAAAAAGTGAGGGGCAAGTCATCAGATTAAAGCAGCCTGTATGTCGTAAACCAGCAATATGGTAAGCTTTCGTGTCACTTAAACAGAAGTAGTACCTAATAATGTCACTTAATACAGCTAGGGTCTGTAAATAAGGAACCGCCTTTTGCAAGTCATGGTGATAAAAAGCTGAGATACAAATCCATATCTCAGCAACACTCTGCTAGTAATCAATCTCAACACAGCACTAATGCTGTGAGACTAGCTGATGTGGGGGAAGTGTGTTTACCTTGTGCTAAAATGAGGTTCATTGCGGAGATGGCATCTCCTCATCCTGTGGTTAACTCTAGAGCTAACATAATTCTGAAGATAATGCATCTTACTGTGTTTGCAGACCAGAGAAGTGGTCTTATGCAGTGCTATTAGCTCTTACACAGTCCTTGTCAAATGCTGGAAGGATACTGTATGGGTTCTGAGAATAGTGTCCTGTTAACAAAAACGACACAGTATGTTAATCTCTGTGCTGTGCTGCAGAAAGTGGCTGGGCAACTGAAGGGGCAGGTTGGTATTTCAGAGTGCTCAGTTCCATTCTCTTTAAAATATAAATAATAAATAAGTATAACAGAAGAGATGCTGTAAATGAAGCAGCCATTGTGCTATCTGTCTGGTGGGAAACTAGAACTGATTTTGCACATTCACTTAGTTTGTGGCTTTGTTGAGTTTGCAGATCCCTCCATATCCCACCATGACTAGAGCTATTTTGAATCATCTGAGCAGTCATTTTAATCAAAAAACTGACTTGCCGAAATGAAAATTCCCCGGAGAAAAGAAAGAATACTATTAATCCTTTCAACAGTATTTCCAGGCTTTCTTCTGCTTAAGCAGATCAGTCTATTTGCCCCCGCAGTTTTGTTTTTGATACCTCAGGAGCATACGAGTGGCCCTTCTGATCTGACACAGCAGTGTAGCTCAGGAAGGGAGCAGCAGCAAGGGCTCAGCGAGTCCCCACCAAGCTCCCTGACGTCTCAAATGTCTCTTTCTTCTTCACAGCCCTGCACCAGGTCAGCTGCTCTGAATGCAGGTGGCCACACCAGGCCAGGAGTATTGCCCAGGCCCCGACACAGCCC